CTAGCAGTGGGGCGGAGAGGCACGGTGGACAGCGGGAATACGGAAGGTCAGGGGAGAGATTAATGAGGGGAGGAGGGGGGGAGGGGGAGGGGAGAAGAGGAGGGGGGGGGGTTGGTGTGGGGACGAGTGGGGGAGGAGGAGCCTCCTCTGAGAGGAAGAGGAAGTGGTCGTCAACGCGAGAGTTCAGTCTTCCGCGGCTGCAGCGAGTGCAGCGCGGCGGGGTGCAGGGAAAGCCAGCGGGACGGCAGGCTCCGTGGCGAATCGTTGCAAGCTCCGTTCGGGAGAGGGAGAGGGAAGGGTGAGGGGAAAGGAGTGCGGGGAGTGGGAGGGAAAGAAGTTATGCGAGGATGGCAGGGGATGACCACCACGGGTTTGCGCGACCATCGTAGGGGCAACGGAGGAGAAATTTCGTGGCTTACTGCGGGTTCGATCGTTTGAATGCCTTGCGCTGCGATCGAGCGCACCTTGGGAGTCGGCGAGAATTACGGGCTGGACTACACGTGCCAGGAAAGCGACGACGAGCGTCGCTAGCCAAGGGATGGCGGCTGCGACGATCCGCGACGGCGAGCTACTAGCCGGCCTCGCGCGGCCCATCTCGCTACAAGCTGTGGGAACGCAACGCGGCGTTGAAACTCGATTTCCGAGACCACGCGGCGCGACTCGAGTCGACTCAGAAATCAACGCGGCGTTCCTCAGATCTACTCGAACTCACTCACACCGGATCTCGTCCTTCGCGTGTTACTTTCGTGGATAGTGAAGCATCATTTGCATCGCTGCCTTTCCCTTACGACCATTCTCTCGCCTCTCCTACCTGTCTTTCCATGCGTGGTTGCAGATCGCAACTGTTGTGCGGTAGTTGAGAATTTTGAGTTTCGATCCTTCTCCGCACAGTAACCTCGCGTGACGTCTCTCAAACCCACAGCGCCAGCTATAAAACCCTGTCATATATAACGAGCCTGAGGGCGATTTATTGATTCCGAGAACGCCGCGATCGCCATTTGCGGCATATGGCAAGGAATGGGGAACTGTTGGAACTGTTGCTGTTCCACAACCGAGGCTTCATGAGATTGTCAGAAACTGAAGCTGGCTTTGTTCATGGCCAGATCTATCATTAATGAAGCGACTCAAAGTGAGCTGGAATGGTCTCGAACGTGGCTCGTGTTGTAAGTGCAGAGGATTCAATAACGCGGAAGTGAATACAACTACTCAGCTAATAATGAAGCCTAGCACTAAGGGCGTGTAACAATAGTTATGTTCTTTTTTTCAAAATTTACAAATTAAAATATGAAAAAAAAAATACTTCAATGACTACATTACTATAGTTTTTGTGGTGCGTATGTGGCTGTGTGCTCCGTCTGTGTGTTGAATTTTTGCCTACTTTGTGGTTGTGCATCATGTAATGATTTTAAAATAATGATTGCATGATGCATGAATATGATGCATAGTAAAATGCATATTGGTATGGTACATATTACTGCAGTATGTACTATGCCAGTAAATGATAGAAATGTGTGATAGTTTTAATCCTAAACAACGAGGCTACCGCATCCCCTGCCTAGCATGGGGGGGGAGTCAATAGCCTAGCATTTAAGTCATACAACGATCACATGAATATAACACAATCTGTGAATCCAAAAAAAATGATCAGTTCCATCAAATCCCGTTCAAGTGGACACACTCACTTGAGTGCGCAAAGAACGTTCCCGGAAATGATAAGCTGATCAAGTTTTTAAGACCCACAGACATGCATTGCTAATGCAATGAATGAATGAGTATAAATGAACACACATACACACACACACACACACACACACACATAGAGAGAGAGAGAGAGAAACTCCAACTCACACCAGAACAAAGTCAAAACAATAACAATAGAAGGTGCAAAACATGATCCAACAAGTATAATAATAAAGAATTCTGCGAATCACCACTACTCTTCCCACTTTGCAAACTGAACTTGGCTTCCTGAAAGGTGCAATATGATTTTTGATGTAGAGGAAATGGGAAAGCAAAACAAGGGAGGACAGGAGAGAAATGGCATTGAAAGTGAAAAAGGAGTAGAAGAGAAGGCAGCGCATCACCGACGCAAAAACAAACCGCCAAACCGAAAGACGAATACAGTACAAAATACCAGAAATCGAAGCAAAACGGAAGGAAAAATACGAGAAAACAGAAATAACAAAAACGAATCCACAAACCAAGTACTGATCTGCTGCAGCCTATAAAGCAGATTAGTACTTAGCACGAGAAAGAGAGAACTACGTGTGAGTTGTTTCCTGACCTGAAAGGCTTGCCAGTCTCTTTTAGTCGAAACCAGATTATCGTGAACTAGTAAAAACAAAACGGTAGTTTAGATGAAACCAGAATTCGTAACACGAATATTATCGTAAATTGCTACCGTATACTCCCGGACAAAACACCCCCCCATAATTGTACACCCCCGGGTAGCTTGTGCGGGGTGGGTGTTATGATAGACCTCGTTTCTACTATACCCCCCTTTTTGGCTGATTTTCTATAACACCCCCCTTTTCTTACGGATTCATTATTATAGTCGTTAACGAGTAGCTGCAATACGGAAGAATATCGTGTGAATTTCTCCCTCAATGAAATTTCGTGGTACATTCAAAGGCAATCTGCCGAGATTTGCCCCCTCCCACTATTTCTCTGTTGCCACGTGCAGGTGAATCTTCCGTTGCAAGTGGCAAGAGAGGTGCCACATGGCATTTTCGTGAGGGCGATGAAGTTCGAGGCCGAAACTCACATTCGCGCCTCAGGCAGTGATGCTAAAACGACCAGCAAAACACCCACATTGACTAATTAAAAAAACACTAACACTAAAATATGCCATATGTAAAGACCCGGGTATTATGTATTTTTTTCCTATGAGGAGACCCCCCCCATTTTTTCCCTGTATTTTTAGCTATACCCTAGGGTGTTATGTCCGGGAGAATACGGTACTCTAACTACACGAATATTTTGTCAAACACTATATGTATTATTGTTGTGTAGGCTATAGTGGGTTAGCCTTTAGGGGGTACACGAAGCTAGGGTTTCCTACTTGTACTCCAACTTTTCATAGTTCAATCACTTCTCATTCTTGACATGGCATTAGAGCTTAGGTTCTAGACCTAGGACTCACCTAAGGGCCCACCGTTAGAAGCGCTCTCGAGCGCCTTATCGTCCTAGTGCGCCCTCGTGCGCCTCGTCTTCTCCTGCTGCCTGTGCGCGGCTCGCTAGTGCCGCGCGCGACCCTTTTAATTTCCCGCGCGTCGCCCCCTAGCAGCCCGCGCGCGGCCGTTTCTGAGCGCGCGCCGCCCGTTAGCCGCCCACGCCGCCACGAGCAGCTCGTCGACCGGCCCTCCTGGCCGCGTGTAGCCCGCTAGCGACCGGCAGCCCCGCCCGTAGGCCGCCGCGACGCCCTCTCTAGGCCGCCCGCGCGCTAGTAAGGCCCACGAGCGGCCACGGCCCGCCCGCTACAGCCGCCCACGCGCACGCCCCCAGGCGCGCACCGCCGCGTAGCCCAGACCGAGCCGAGCCGCACAGCCCGAACCGAGCCGCGCCGCCCGAACCGAGCCGCGCCGCCCGAACCGAGCCGCGCCACCCTAGCCGAGCCGCGCCGCCCGAACCGAGCCGCGCCGCCCTAGCCGAGCCGCGCCGCCCTACTGTGCCCCACCTGCAGCAACTCCTGTTCCTGTTCCTACTGTACTACTGCTACTACTGCTACTGTTCCTACTGCCACTATGGCCACCCCATCCATTCTCAACTTTGACGCAGAGGGTCGCCCGATTAAGTTTGAGGTGTGGTTAGATGACCTTCACCTGTTCCTCCAGATCACTGCCAAGGACGATGTCTCCCTGTATGACCATACGTCAGGCGCTGCTCCCGCACCTCCCGCTACTGCTGACAGTACTGCTCGCTCCCAGTGGCAGACCCGTGATGCACACGCTCGCCTAGCCGTTCGCAGTCACCTCCCGTTAGATGAGCGCGAGCACTTCGGACAGCATAAGACCGCCAAGGAACTGTACGACGCAGTAGTCGCGCGCTACTCCTCCCCTGCCACAGCTGCTATAGGCCGTCTCTCACTGCCCTACCTCTTCCCCGACCTGTCCGCCTTTGCCACTGTAGCTGACCTCATCACCCACCTCCGTACCAGTGACCTCCGCTACCGTGCCGCGCTCCCCCCCGATTTCCTCGCCAAGAACCCCCCCCCCCCCCCGATGTACCTCACACTGTACCACCTTGTCACCCGCCTCTCTGACTCCCTTCGCACAGTCAGGGACCAGTTTCTCGCCCTCTCTCCCACTGACCTCACTGTCGACCTCCTCGAGAAGGAGCTCCTAGCAGCTGAGAAGAGCATTGTAGCTGTAGGAGCCTCTCGTGGTGACCCGCGCACCCCCTTCTTTGAGGGGTGCTCCCCCTCCCCCCTCCTCCCCTCCGTTGCATCTGCTGCTGCTGTCGACTACCTCGGAGCTGAGGGGGTCGGGGCCGCGTCTGCTCCTAGTGGGAGACGCAAGGGCGGCAGGGGCAAGGGGGGCAGGGGTGGTGGAGGTGGAGGTGGGGGCAGCGGCGGTGGAGGAGGTGGGGGGGGCGGGGGTGGTGGCGGGAGTGGGAGTGGCGCGGGTGGTGGGGGGGTCAGTGGCGGCACAGGGGGTGGTGGCGGCGGCGGCGGTGGTGGGGGTGGTGGAGGTGGTGGTGGCAGTGGTGTTGTGTGATGCAATCATATGCATTCACGTCTGTCTGCCTCCCATCATATGTTCGTGCGTTGCATGCGTGGTGTGAGCGTGTGCGAGAATTTGTGTTTTGTGCGGTTTGGTTTTTCTGAGTGTGTGTGAATGTTATTTGGCTTGAGCAGATATCTGAAGTGACTCCTCTGCTCAAGAGCTTTCCGACGAACCAAGTATCGCTTCAATCGGAGCACGAACAAGAAAGTTACGAACGTTGGAGTTCGTATGCTTTTGATATTTGGTTGTGGTGACTATGGGAAGTTGTGGGGTTGA